AAGGGGCGCCTGGGCGGCTCAGTCGGTTAAGCGTCCGACTTCGGCTCAGGTCATGATCTTGCAGTTCGTGAGTTCAGGCCCCACATCGGGCTCTGTGCTGACAGCTCAGAGCCTGGAGCCTGTTTCAGATTCTGTGTCTCCATGTCTCTCTGGCCCTTCCCCTCTCGAGGTCTGTCTCTCTCACTCTCTGTCTCTCAAAAATAAAAATAAACATTAAAAAAAATAAAGTTGTTTTAAAATGAACTTTTCGTGTTTCATATAAAGGCATATATTTCAAATACAATATTTTGTATTTATATTTGATTATAAGCAAACAATAGACACCTGTATTTAATTCTGACTTATAAATAAGAAACAGACATAGATGAGATTTCAATGGGAGATTCAGTAACAAAATAAATAGAAATACTTTGAATAGAAAAGACTTTTAATTTCAATTGTAAAATAAGAATATAATGTCATTATTATAAACCACAGTCATTTTTTTTCTTTTTCATTCACAAATCTGAGGTTGAAGACCTCTACATTATGAAGGGAGTGAAATGAAAATAAAAAAAAAAAAACCTGTTATTACTATTGTGATACTGGGTGAAAATGGCCAGAATTTTCTTCATTCCTGAAACTTTTATATGTCACATAAATAAGGGTTCAATTACGGACACAAAAGAGAAGAATATGATGAGAATTCTTTTTTTTAATTTTTTAATGTTTATTTATACTTGAGAAAGAGAGAGGGGGAGGGAGAGAGAGTTTAGGGGAGGGGCAGAGAGAGAGAGAGACACAGAATCCAAAGCAGGCTGAACTGTCAGCACAGAGCCCAACACAGGGCTTGAACTCACAAACAGCGAGATCATGACCTCAGTCGAGGTCTGATGCTTAAGGGACTGAGCCACCCACCCAGGTGGCCCCATGATTAGAATTCTTTTTTTTTTTTTTTTCAACGTTTATTTATTTTTGGGACAGAGAGAGACAGAGACTGAACGGGCGAGGGGCAGAGAGAGAGGGAGACACAGAATCAGAAACAGGCTCCAGGCTCTGAGCCATCAGCCCAGAGCCCTACGCGGGGCTCGAACTCACGGACCGTGAGATCGTGACCTGGTTGAAGTTGGACGCTTAACCGACTGCGCCACCCAGGCGCCCCTAGAATTCTTAATCAACTTTAGTCTGATGACAAAACAATGGAGACAAACCCAAAAATTTAGATTTGATGATGGTTTAAAAATGCAAGATAAAGCATCACTTAGTCCCATTTTCAGCCATGACAGAGTTACTAAAATCACCTTGCCCTAAAACCTGAACAATGTATGTGAAACAAACACGTTCAGACATTTAACAGCAGAAAACACAGGCCAGAATACCCAGAAAAGGAAATGTGAAGTGAACTGGCTTTCTGCCAGGAGGCACTTGCTAGATCATTGCATAGGAAAGGTAGGCAAAGGATGCAGCTGAGCAGAGAGAGCAAGCTCTTTGAGTTGAGGAGGCAGAGATGTATGTGGGAGAGAATGGAGGTGGTTGGGATATCTAAGCATTGGAGAAAATGGAGCTTTGTGGAGAAAGACATCCAGAAGTCTGCAAAGGGGTTTGCATGAGGTTGTTGGCCATTCTAATGGGTGTGTAGTAGTATTTCATTGTTGTTTCAACTTGCATTTCCCTGATGATCACATATGATTTTGGTGAAGTGTTCGTTAAGGTCTCTCGCCATTTTTTAATCAGGTTGTTTGTTTTCAGCATGGACTTCAAAAGAGAGATTACAAACAAGCTAAAGATTTAATGGAAAACATGAATATAATGAAGGGGAAATGAAAGGTATATTAAAAAGCCAAAGTGAACTTCTTTGGATTAAAAACCACAGTATCAGAAGTGAAGAACTTAATGGATGGAATTAATAGCTGACTGGAGACTACCTCCAAATTGATCATGGAAGACACAGCAGTATCAAATAGCCAAATTGAATCACAGAGAAAAATAAATGGAAAAAAAATTACAAGTACTTCAGAAACCTGATAAAAAATATCAAGATGTTTAAAATACATAAATTGGTGTTTAAGACAGAAGGGGAAAGCAGAAAGTATATTTGAAAAATATTCTAAATTTAATGGAACCAATAAACCTGTCAAAATCCTAAGCCAGATAAATTAAAAGATAGCCATACCAAAGCATATCCTAATCAAACTGCTGAAAACCAATGAAAAAGAGAAACTCTTAAAAGCAACTTGATGAAACAAGACTTTTTGTTTTATTTGCACATAGGAGCAAAGATCATCATAGCCTTTTCATCAGAAAATGTAATTAGAAATCAATGGAATGACATTTTGAAAGAGCAGTAAAAAACCTGTCAAGCTAAAAATTCTATATCCAGCAAAATTGTCCTTCAAGAATAAAGACAAAGTATTCAGACAACCAGCAGCCAAGAGATTGATTGCCAGCATGTCTGCATGATGATTTTCAGTAGAAAGAAAAGGTCACCAGAAGGAAACCTGGGTCTACATATGGAAACAAAGAACACTGGAAATGGTAAATATGTGGATAAATACAAGATATTTGCCAATTTTTAAATTTCTTAATTGTGCGAAGCAAAACGTTTAAAACAAAAATATTACTAATATATAATGAGTTAATAATATATGTAAAGTGTAACATTAAAAAATAGCTAAATAAGGACAATAAGCGACATAGTGAGATTTGAAGGTAGATTTTTGGTGGTCCTACAAAGATAGGTTATATGTTAAGTGTTGGTCCTGCTTTGTCGCAGAAGTCCTGTTTTATGCCTTTCATACTGACATAATTATTGATGAGAACACTTTCACTCTCAAAGAAGCCCTAGTTTTTAGAGAATATATTATATGATATCTCTAATGAAGTGAGACAATGTGCCAATATTTATGCCACAAATACTGGTTTAGAGCAATAGGTAAATCTGATGCCTGAGAATCTTCTAGGGAGCCTGTTAAAAATAGAGCTGTCTCCCCTCCCTCGACACTCTCCCCAATCCTAGTAAATCTGGGGCAGGACTTAGGCCTTTAAAAATTTAACATATTATTTGAAAGAACTCAAATTTTGAGAATCCTCTATTGTAAAAAAAAAAAAAAACTTTCAATTATTAAACCAATAGCAAACACCAATGTAAACATCTTGTGCAGAAATTAACACACTTTACCGCTACAAGGCTTTCAAGGGATCCTTATGGCCTAAGTTTTTCTTTCTAATATACTGTGTAGCCCAGAAAGATCTTGGAAGGCCTTTTTAACTAAACCACTAACAGGCCTCTCAGTCCTATGGAAGTCATGAAGAAAAAAGTGAGGGCAAGTAATACTGTAGTTCATTTCTTATGCTGATAATTTGAATTACTCTAAGATGTGATTATGTCCATATTCAGTGAAAATGAAGAATGGAAAGAAGTTGTTCTATGAGACGGGAGAAATTTAAAAAGGAACTGTAAATAAGACAATCATATTCAGATATATGAACATAGTCACTTTGAAAAACCTAACATAATCACAGACTTAAGAGTATGTTGGTTGTGTAAAACAGCATTAACTCTCTTATTTTGTTTTATTTTATTTTGTTTTATTTTACTTTACTTTTAAAAAATGTTTAATATATCAAAAGGCCTGCTTTAATGACATGCCAGTGCCACCTTAAAATAATCCCAATAACCCATCAGGAACATGCTCAAGTTGACCAGCCAACTCTTATTTCTAAACTTCTGTGTGTTTGCGTGTGTCTTTTAAATTGAAGCCAAGGGGCTCAGGTGATTGCTCCTTCCACTTTGTGCATCCTCAGGTTACCCAAGTGGTGTCCATCTGTTCCCAAGAGTGGGCAGGGCACAGAAGCCCTGCAGTGGTAGTGAGGGAACAACAGACAGCCCCAGATAGCCAACTTTTTCAAGCACACCTCCCTCACCCCTGCTCAAAAGGAGATCCTTATTTCTAACCAGAGTATTCACTTCAAATTTTGGCTCCCAATGACCAGAATGTTTTTCCTACTTTAGGGAAACAAAACAAAACAAATAAACACACATATCTACACACACACACACACACACACACACACACACACACACACATAAATACTTTTTTTTTACATTTAAATATAAAAATACTATTCTGCTTTGTGTTATAAATGGAGGACCAAGCAATAAGAACTTTTTCTTCTAAGGTAGGTCAATCCATCCTTCTGCTGAGCTTGTCTTCAGGTGAGGGCATTTAGTCCCGGGTAAGGGAAACACTGTACCAGGAGGACAGGGGCATTTTCCTGCTTGGTTCTCTCCTAAGTCTCACTTTCAATAGAAAGCTGGTTATAACTTTATACGAAATGGAACTTCCCACCAAGAGAGGAAATCCTAACCTAATCCCAGAGTAAGTAACCCATCCCCCACTCCAGAACTCAGCTACCTCAAAGAAAAAGCTCTCCCCCTCCCTTCACAAATACTATGCTCTGTCCAGATAGGTATGCCTATTGGACAAACACACCTGATTAAAAGGAAACAGTGGTTATGTCTCCCCACCCCCTCCCCACTAATGTACTAGACAGCTTCAGTAACAGGGGAAAAAGGGAGGGATGTAAAAAGATTAAGAACTTGACCCTTCTATCCTGATCAAAAGAAAGCAAGAGAAGTTAAGTGGGCATGAGGAATAAAAAAAGTCCTTGATATTCTGACCCTTGAGTTACAGCTATTAGGACAGTCAAGAGAGGGCCAAACACGGAGGCAGGATGGAGAATTAGGGGTTTGATGGCTGCAAGTCTAGTGCACTAAGTTTTTGTACTGGAAGTGTTCATTGCCAGTTTCAATGAGAAGACACATGCGGATGAGGGCTCCTGTCACCAAAAAGAGGTCACAGTTGGCAGAGGGGTGATGGTCTTCAAAGTAACCTTTCTCCTGGCCAACAGTCCAGGGAATGTGGATGCTAGCACCTCGTTTGGCCACGCTGGCAGAAAAGTCATTAATGTTGGAGGTTTTGTGGAATCCTGTTAGGCGCTGGGCATTATCCAGGGCCCCCTTGGGATCATAGGCTTAGATGTGGTACTGGTGCCGCTTGCTCAGTTTCTCAATGGACTCCTCAATGTACTTCAGACCATTCTCCTCTCGCATGGCCTTGGTGCTGAAGTCAGTGTGGCAGCCGGCACCATTGCAATTCCCAGGAATGCGCTTAAGATCGAAGGTTGCTATCACTCCAAAGTCTTCACATACACGATGCAAGATGAAACAGGCCATCCAGAGATGATCTCCCACATCGGTTCCTTCACAGTGTCCTATCTTGAATCCCACTGGGCAGGCATGACCTCAGCATCTGTCCCACCAATCTTGATGCTGGTGTATAAGCAGGCCTGGTAGTGAGCCTCCACAATGTCCCATGCCACAGTAGTGTATGGACCTTGGGGCCCAGGGAAGCCGTTGGAAGCCCAACCAAAAGGGGGCCCACCTGTGCCTATGAAAGTATATTCCTGCTCCATTCCAAACCAGGTGTGCCGATTGCTCACCATGTCCAGTATCTGTTTACAGGTATGCCTTAAATTGGTCTCTGCAGACTTTTGGTTGTACTTGAAGACTTCACAGAACGCCAGCTGTTTGGGGTCCTTGCAGAAAGGGTCCCGAAATACGGCAGCAGGGACAAGATACACGTCAGTGTTGGAGCCTTCAAACTGAAAAGTACTAAAGCCATCAAAATTCCACTGAGGCAACTCTTCTATATACTTGGGTTCACTTTCCAAGGTCCGGGTCTTGCAGCGCAGGCTTTCTCCAGCACCATCAATCCAAATGTACATAGCTTGGACTTTCTCTCCCTGAGGCAGGGACATGTACACCTGCTTGATGCCTTTGTTCATGTGGGGACTCGCAGAGGTGGCCATGGTGGAAGCTGTTCTGGGCTGTGAGCAGGCAGCAGGGCGGGTGCGCTGCGAGAGTGAGGTGTGGCGAGAAGAGGAGGCTGGGTGTACTGCTTAGATGCTCCGCTCTTCTCCCATTCTCAGCTCTCTCTTATTTTATTTATTTTTTTACTTTTTTTAACGTTTATTCATTTTTTTGAGAAACAGAATGAGTGGGGGAGGGGCAGAGAGAGAGAGAGGGAGACACAGAATCTGAAATAGGCTCCAGGCTCTGAGCTGTCAGCACAGAGCCCAATACAGAGCTTGAACCCACAAACTGTTAGATCATGGCCTGAGCCAAAGTCAGATGCTCAACCGACTGAGCCACCCAGGTGCCCCATTAACTCTCTTCTTGTAAAGAGATGGGGAAACTGAGGCCTAGTGAGTTTCAATAATTTAAATAACTCATCCAAAAAATAATAATTCTTGGTTCTAGAAAAAAATTATTTTGTTGCCTGGCTCTTACTTCAGTTTTTTTTTCAACGTTTATTCATTTATTTTGAGAAAGAGTGACCGCTGAGTGGGGTAGCAACAGAGAGAGAGGGAGAGAGAGAATCCCAAGCAGCCTCCATGCTGCCAGCACAGAGCCTGACCTGGGGCTCTATCTCGTGAACCAGGAGATCATGACTTAAGTTGAAATCAAGAGCTGGATGCTTAATCAACTGAGCTACCCAGGCACCCCTCAGTTTATTTTTAATCCCATATTACCCAGTAAAGTTTGGATTATTTACTCTCAAGATGTACTGTCCAAGTCTGCCCCTTCAATAACTTGGATAATTGAACCTTAAAAGTCTGCGACCATCTGAAAAAAATCATATGAGTATGAAATCTCATTTAGTTACATTATTTCTGAATAGATATCCAGAGGGTCAAAATATGCTTTTATAGTACATGAATAAAATGGCTAGGGAAAGCAAAAGTGCCTACTGCTATATAATATATATGATGTACATGAAACCAAAAAGTAAATAGCTCTAACATACAGAAAGAAATTTTTAAAATCTTTGGTTTTGCCATAGCTTTCTAAAATCTTTAACCATTCACTGTTTAAATTCAGTTTCTAATTTGGGAACATATCTTACTCTTGGAGATTGTTTGTTTCTTTAGTAGTCCATACCCTGCCCCATCACTTTTTCATAGTGTAAATATTTTTGGGAGTTTGTCAGTTTTTTGTTCCAATGCAGCGAAATATCATCAGGACATAGTTTAAAAGTTCTCTTGTTGCAGAAGCACTTTCTCTGAAAAAGGTAAAGAATAAAGTGTATAGAATGAGAAAGTATGAAATTTTCTATGCAATTCAAGATCATCATTCTTTCTTCTAAAGACATCCAAATGGCCTACGGTCTAATGGCCTCCAGGAAAAAATACACACCATAATACTTCCATCATGGATGGATACTAATAGCCAAATGGCTGAACTTTTGCTTGACCTAATTCAAACGAATTGGTTTTGTGTTCAACATATTAAAGCACAAGGCAATTAATCCCTTTCTTCTTAAGTTACTGGAGGGGGGGATGAGATAAAGAAAAGAAGGAAACTAACAATTTTGTGCTGCTATATTTACTTTATACAAATTATTTTATTTAATCTTAATAATCCTTTGAGGTAAGTGGTAATACCACATTTTACAGATGAGGAAATTGAGGCAGCTCAGAATGGTTATGTAAATCGTTCAACATTCAGTATGAATAAATAGCAAAGTTAAACTTTGAATCCAAATTAATGTGACTCTTAATCATTTCAGTGCACAATCTGGAAATAAGGCCTACTCAATAGTAACTTCAGGAAAATTCAGTAATTTGTCCTTAGAAGTAGCTGTGATATTTTCTAAGTATTTTCTGGGTATTAAAAAAAAACCCACCTAGTCATAATCACTGCATGGTTTGTGTCAATGGAGCCCAAAATACCTGCTCCTGCAAATTACTTTACCTTCCAGAACTTCCTGAATCTGCCCAAACTTGATCTCTTTTATAGCATTTGCATTTCCTGACAGATTACTGCTGCCTATGCCCAACCTTCTGGCTGAGTCAGACAATGCCCATTTCATGCTGGGAAGCTGTAGACATGATACCTATGGTTAGAATTTAGTCTCTAGCAACGTCCCATAGCAAACCAGAGATGTTTGTTAAAAGGAGCGTAATTATTTTTAGAAGATGGAACACATATATAGTCCAAAACCTAGAGGTCCGCTTGCTAAAAGTTCCATTCAGCAATCCTCTTTGCCATGGACACTTGAAGTATCATTATTGGATCTGCTACATCATGAGCTCTTTGTGGCAGGGAAATTTAAACTGCACCCTGAACTTGCTGTGGAGCCTTCTCTTTTTCTGGTCCCCACTCAACACTAGCAGCCTGTCACTTTGTAAATGGGCCAAAATTACACAAATGTGGTGTATGTAAATGGTCCACACCCTTTTGAAGAGGGAGTAGAGGGAGATTTCTGATGGGTACTTTCACCAGTGGTGAAAAAGAACCTTATTTATTCCTCAAGGGGACTTGGCCTCCCCTTTAATCAAGGAACTCTGGATCTGTGAATTGACATAGGTCTGGAAATGGAGTGAGAAGCCATGGCTCACCATTGTGGAGACTTGAGTCAGGTTTATGGCTACCAGACCTAGAGCTTTTTCGGTTGCACAGACCAAGTGATATTCTCCTAGTCTGCCCATTTATTTTGCTAGGGACATGATAATCAATTACTACCTCCAAAGATCTTCAGGGGCGAAGGTATTCTGATGGCCTGTAGGTCTCTGCTGCCCTTTAAAATAGATGTTTCCACCTGTCTTTGGCAATTAAATGCTGCCACAGGATCCTGCTACTCTGAGATCCTATAATGCCCACTGAGATCAGGGTACCCATTTTAACAGTAGTGTGCTAGGTTGCATAATGTCTTCCCTTCCTCCCTGCAAAGATGTCCACATCTTAACATCAGAAATCTGTGAATATATTACATTACATAGTAAAATAGACCTTGTAGATATAGTTAAGGATCTTGAGATGGACAGATTATCCTGGATTGTCTGGGTAGGTCCAATGTAATCATAAGGGTCTTTTTAAGACATAGACAGGAGGTCAGAGGAAAGAGATACTACACTGTGTGTTGAATGTAAAGAAAGGGACCATGAGCTGTCTCTAGAAGCTGAAAGAGACAAGAAGTAGATTTTCTTCTGGAAAAAGGAAGCAGCCCTGCGAACATCCTGGGTTTAGCCCTGTGAGACTTATTTCAGACTTCTGACTTCCAGAAATACAGTAGAATAAATTTATGTTGTTTTAAATTACTAAATCTCTGACAATTTGTTATAGCAGCAATGGCAAACTAATACAGATATCACCCTATAAAATAGTGCTTCTCAACCAGGATTAATTTTGTTCCCTCTAGGGAACAATCAGCAATATCTGGAGGCATTTTTGATTGTCATGATTCAGGGGAGGGTAATACTGGCATCTGGAGGGTAGAGATCAGTTCATCCTGCAATTCACAGAAAAGTCCCTCAACACAAAGAAGTATCCTCTCCAAAATGTCAATAGTACTAGATTAAAAATTCCTGCCCTGCATCATGCATGACTGTGAAAGGCAAGTAACCACTAAGTTTTTCAAGAATGTAGGTGTTCCCTCACTAATATATTTTTCAATGCCTCACTGAGGGCAATGTCTTTCAGACCTTCTCATGAAGCATAGTTGCACACAATAAATCCAGTCCAATGTTTCTTCTTCTTCTTTTTTTTAATGTTTATCTATTTCTGAGATAGAATGTGAGTGGGTTAGGGGCAGAGAGAGAGGGAGACACAGAATCTGAAGCAGGCTCCAGGCTCCGAGCTATCAGCACAGAACCCGACACAGGGCTCGAACTCATGAGCTGTGAGATCATGACCTGAACTAAAGTCGGACGCTCAACTGACTGAGCCACCCAGGCGCCCCCCAGTCCAACATTACTAAATCTCTAAGTCTTTGGTTTCCTTCCTCCATATCATACTGAAGTAGCATGTCAGCTTCGTTAACTATAGGCTACTGTCATGGAGTCTAACTTTAAGCCAATGAACCACATAATCCTTCAGAACCATCTCCTACTGCACCAGCTAGTCCATTTAAAAACAGAATCTCAAAAGGTGCCCTTTTGAGATTCTGTTTTTAAATGGACTAGCTGGTGCAGTAGGAGATGATGAGCACTGGGTGTTGTATGGAAACCAATTCGACAATAAATTTCATATATAAGTAAAAAAAAAATAAAACAATAAAAACAGAATCTCCTTAATTGCTCCCATGACAAAAAAGAAATGCTATCATGTGATGTAATAGATATGTTACCTAACACCCTGTGAGTATCATATTGCATGTAACAAGTCAATGTTTTACACCTTGAAGTTATACAATGTTATATGTCAACTATATTTCAATAAAAATATTACAAGAAAAATTTAATTACCTCCCCAACCCTGAGTCTCCAGCAAATATACCCTTATCAATGAATTCAGCTAGATTTGGGTTTTTATTTCATTTGCCTTGGTCTAACATCCATAGGCTCCTTTCCCATTCATTCCTTAGGTTTCAGTCAACATATTTGCAAAGACTTGGAATTCTTTCATGTGTAAGCTATTTCTTCCCGGGTAATTTTTATGTACCCATCCCTCTTGGAACATGATGAGATTCGATCTTAGTTACAGTTATAGGAAGTTTTGATATCCTCCTTCCACATGTTCACCCCAGATAAGGTTATTGTAAGATTATCAAGCAGAAGGCTAGTCTCAGATACTGGAAGGAAAGCTACTTCTAATGGGATGGGAGTCTCAAAGTGATCTGGAGGCTCCAGAGTGTCAGTGTCATCAGCATTCAACAACACACGTACCCATCCCAATATTCAGAGTCCCATTCTTGATCAGTTAATGCCCTCCCTTTCGTATGACAAATCTGCTGAGACTGAATTCAGTGAGCATTGTAATACAGATTTTTAGCAATATCAAGCCTGCAGTTTCCAGAAATAAGATCTTAGTTTAGGGCTATATGGAACCTCTCTGATTCTCAGATAGTGATTTAAGTTGAGAGTTAACAGGTCTGAGCTTGTCATTTTCTCTTTGCTATTTCTCAAGTACACTCAAAAGAACCCATCCCACACCACAATCCTTGCAGTCATCCTCACAGTCAGATTGGCCGCATGCAGTTCCAC